AAAAACAAAAGCTTCTTCACGTGGCACATCTCCTCGCACAGGCAGGACAGGTTTTGAGTTTGTCGCCACAAAGGATGTTGACTCAGAGCCCGTGCCAGCATCAAGCGATGTAGGCCGCTCCCACACCGCGCAAGAGCAAAGCTGACCCAGGTTCAAGGAAGAGAGCGATAGAACAAGAGGCTGCGCTTGCAAACCACAAGTCCCAACCACAGGCGACAGCAATCGGAAACCAGTGGTTTGAACACGATAAGAATCAGTGCCTTCAGGCTCACACTTCAAAAGCATAACACCGATGTCATCTGCAGTAAACTCTGCTGAGGCAGCCAAATGTGCTCTTGAAGGGCGCAATGACACTACTTGAAAAAAGACCTTGCTGCTCGAAGAAACTTCAGCCACAATGAGGTCAGCCACGGTGGCCACAGGCACAAGGTCTGTGCAAGACTCGTTTCTTCCATCGCCTAGGTTTGCAATGGCCTGCGATGGGGCGAGGAAATGCGGCAGAAGTCTCAAAGCGGCACTGGGCAAGTCACAAGAAAATATGCACCTCTGGTCTTTGTCTTTGCACAGCTGCTCCAACTGAGAGCGCAAGTAGCGCATAGCAGCTGAGCGCAGCATATCTGACACTTCTGGAGCAAGGTCTTTGCCGCCTGGTGGTTCAGGCGCTGGCAAAGCTAGCTTGGCTGCAGAGCGAACAACACTTTGTGGAGCGCTTGTCAACGGTGGCAAGCTATCCCCATACAATGCAAAAGGGTCTGCGTGGTACAAAGTCTTTCTGAAAATTGGGTCCCATGGACTCTTTGCAAACCTGCATGACGGGTGTCTTGCAAGCCCAAGTTGAGTCAACAAGTTCCTGGGAGTTCTGGCCACTTGCACACAGTCCAAGAATGAAGCCACATCATCTCCTGACAAAACCCTCTTGATTTCAGACAACCGCAAGGCCAGGGAATCGGTAGCTTCATGCCTGTTTCTTCGATTTCCGGTTGTGATGTGAACCTTGGCGTGGCCACCTTCCACTCGACGCTCAGTGCCCCAAGCAAAGCAGAATTGGGCGATAAACTCAGTTAGATCTTCCAATAAGGCAAGCTCCTCCCCAGCCAAAAAAAGTTCTGCTTCTTGACGGAGAGGACCGGGCTCCTGCAGCTTAACAATCTGGGGATGCTGGCACTCCGATTTCAAGCATTTGTGAAGGACATCTTTCTGCTCTTTTGGATTTGAAGGGTTGTGCTGGCTCAAACCAAAAAGAAGAAGCGGAGGCTCCAAAAAACATGACATCTTGAGCGTCAGCTGAAACGTCAAATGCCCACGGCCATGCTCGAAATCGAGAACGCATTGCGTCCGGCTCTCTTCTGACAGTTGCTCAGGAAGTTTCAGAAACAAATCCGCTGAATTGATCAAGCACAATCTATTCAGCTCTTCGAAGAAAGCTCCGCAAGCAATTTCTGGAAGCCGTCTGCCTCTCAAAGGGCAGCTGTCCCATTTGATTTTGTAACCATCAGGTGGAACTCTGTTGTGGTGACAAGGGCAAGACTCAACCCATATGAGAAGCTCCCGCACCACATAGAACAGGCTCTCCAACGTCATCAGCTGCGCCCAAAACTCTGTGGAGTCAATGCAGTCATTGACCACTTCAATCTTCAAACTTGCATCGTCTGCAGCACTATTGCTTGCAAGAGAAAGCCCCTGCTTTTTGAACGCGTCAAAATTCCAAAACTTTTGCAAAGGAATCCGCAAGGCTAGCAATTCTGGAATGGCAAAAGCAACTCTGCCCCAACGGCCTGTGTGAACCTTCGCATCGAAGCGCTTGATCTCAGTGTGGAATGCTCTGGCTAGAGGCCGATCAAAGCAGCTGGCAAGCAAACGTTGCTTCTTGTCAGGGTTGGACAGAAACCGGCACACAACTTGTAGCTTTTCAACGGCGCCATTCAAATACGGCAAGTTATCCAACAAACTGTTTGTGGCATTGTGCAAAATGTGAAGTGGCCCTGGAATTGACAGCATGTCCTGAAGGGAAAGGTTCTCTTCTGCCAAGTCAGAGGCCAACTGAAACTCCGGCAACTCAAAGTCATCAACAACATCTTGGACTCCACTTTCACCACCGCTTCCAGGCGGATGGTACCAAGGAAACAAAACAGAGAATGCAGTTGGCTTGATACGCCCCAAAGAGAATTCAACACCCAGATCGAATGTCCCTGCCACAATCTCATGCACAAATGATGCCAAACTGCTGGCTGTTTCGCCAGCCTCCAGCATGAATGCAAACATCAAACAACAAAACTTGTCCTGCAAACTAGTCCGGCCAGAAGACAAAGCCATGATAGGAAGATGATGGACCACAATGCGCGACTGCATCTCCGCAATGATCGCCAGCTCATCTCGCAAAGCCAGCTCGTCAGTTCCTTCATCTTCCACAGCAAACCTGTCAAGAGTCAAGGACTCAAGGAGGTAAAAGGATTCAAACCCGACCACACACATAAGTTAGTTTTACCCACACACACACACGCACGCAAACGCCAAATCTAACGAACACCGCTTCTCACAGAGCTGATGGACGAGAGGTCTCTATGTACACAAAGCGTGTTCACCCATAGGTATACAAGTATACACATAGTAAAATCTACATTGGAGGCAACACAGCTGAGGAACCATAAATCCAGAAGATGCGCCCTTTGAAAGAAAAGTTCCTTCAAGTCCTGCTTCTTGATACTGGCCATCAGGATGTGCTCAAATTCTCGGCTGTGCTGAGTAGACGCGTCGGCCATGACAAACCGAACAAAGCCACTTGGGCTTTCCGCTTCAGAGGCCCCAGCGTTCATTCGTCGCTGGTACAGCATAAAGCTGCCGTCCAATATCATTTTCCACCTGGAGATGGTGCTTGCATGTGGGATGTGGTTCTGGCAAGTGTCCAAAAACGTTTTGAACGCATTGTGCATCACTTCTGGCAGGAGCATTTTGGCTGCAGATTGCAGCACTTCATGCATTGTAGAGGCACTACGGAGCAATGAAGCCATACAAACCGCTTTCACCAAAAACGCCACTTGATATGGTCTCCGGGTAGCGCTCCAAAGACCACTCCCCTTCCCAGTCATGTCCCGCGCAGCTCTTACAAAGGCGCTTGCATCCAGACCCTCCAACACTCGCTGCAAAACAATCACGCAACGCCTTACAGACTGAAACTCCTGCGATTGGAACAAGAGTTCGTCGTCCATTCCATCATCTGCAGCTGGCTCAGGCTCAGGCGGCGTATCCAGTCCGGCAGCAAAAGCTTTGAGGTAGTCAATCGCACTGTCCAGAACTTCAACGCTCAGAGACATATCTTTGCCTCCTGCGTCTTGCAAAAAATGATGGTGGAGTTGTGGGATTTCATCACGGGACATCCCACAGAGTCGCCAATTGATGGAGAGAACTGCAGATCCACCATGTTCTGTGTTTGGAAAGTGGGGCAGAAGAATTGACGACCATTGCCCAGTCATAATTTTCGAAACAAAAGGCAAAGGAAGTCTCAAGACTGCGTGGGGCGTGGGTTTCCCTGCCAAGCAATCAACCCCGTTCCTTTCATCTTGTAATTGGCAGCGCAGACTGGGGCCTTGGTCAGCATCCAGCCGGGCCATCAACGAGCGGCAACAGCTAGCACTCAAGTGTTGCAACAGGGCAGTTGTTCGCAAAGGAAAAACAGAAATGACTTTGAAGATGTAGGAGTTGCCATGCATCTTCTTGCCACTGATTTCCTCCCAAAACCGCACCATTCGCTTTTCGCAGTGAGAAATCTGCAACATGTCATGGTAAACCTGGACGTCATCCAGCACAACCACTCCGAAAATTCTTGGCGTGGAATCAATCCCATCTCTATCGGTGTCACCTTCAATGTCTTCTTCCAAAAACGCTTCTTTGGACATGTGAATCTTCCTGCCGCCATAGCGTAGGGTCTGCATGGAAGCTAACCACAACAGAATCGCCATAGCTAGTCTAAGCTAGTGCAAAATACAAGTAGAACAGGAACATGAATAGGCAAGCTCTGGTTTCTCTACCCTGGAAATGAATAGAATAAAGAATTTGGCATATATATATATTATGGTTGCCTGAGCTGCTTGAATATATAAATGAC